AAGGTGACCCCCCCCTCTCTTCCTCATGTTCCAGATCCTTTTGATTACAGAAAGTCGTATGCCTTCATTAAGCCATTATTAAGAGAAAATTTCTCACAAGTTGATTCCTTATTTATCAAAGCGAGCTATCCAAGTGATAGCACTGGGGCGCGGTCGGTCGCACCCCGACGATCGCGGCGACCGCCCTTGCTATCGCGGAGTATGAGCGTAGCCTTATAATGTTCTTAAGTATCTTTCTTTTGCTTCCCTCTCTAGCTGGGTGTCATTTATCGGCTACTGCTGAACGCAAAAAGAAATGAAAATATCAACCAAACCGATGAAAACATACCTGTTCTAGAAACATAGCTCCAACTGTTGTAACACATCTCAACAACATAGCGTGTACGAAATATTATTCTACAATGAACGAGTCCATGGAATACACTTAAGAAAGGAACTAGTAGCGAGGAAATAACCCACCGAAGCCAAGCAGGAAGTTTCTTTTCATTCATGGCAGCTGAAACGAATGCCTTCCACTGGGCGTCTTTCGACCTTCGTAAACGAGCATGGGAAGAAACGATGTTCTCAATTGTTGTCAGCAAAATCTGTTCAAATGAAACGACTTTTTCAGGGGAACTATGAATACATTATTCGAGATTAAGCACCTGTTTTGAGGTAATACTCCTGCCTGCAACATTTTCAAGCTTGAACGATTGGCTGAGCTTCCGCACAGGTGCCTCGCTTAGTTCACGGCCATTTTTCGAGCCATAAAAATATAGTATGACATCCCATACATGCTGCAGTGGAGTGGGTTTAGCATCTAAAATCGCACGATAAAAGGTGAAAATTTTAGGCTCTACTTTCATTATTTGAATTCAACTTACAACTAGCACCATTCTTCGCCACGAAACAACCCAAACCAAGAGATGAAGGCAGAGATCGGTGGGTGACCGTTTCGCTCAGCATACCGTGTTCCAAAAGTGCTTTCAGTGATGGGCAGAGCTGTCTTCTCACAACCGTAACAACTTCCTCTTCCGACCGCTCGAAAATTTCCTAAATCAGCAATCAAGCAGTGCTTGGTCTTCATTTATAATAATCACAACAATATACAATTTGCTGTCTGTTTGTTTCATGATCTGTTTGAAAAACATGCTCTAGCTTAAGAGTAACTTGGAGAGCTCGTATCAAGGTTGAGGTGAGTAGCGCATGGCACAAGGAGTAAAGCGCTTACGTGACCCATGCGAAGTCCCGCAGAGTAGGCGCGGCATGCGTCGAAAAGTGGAGGTATCACAGTATCGCGGACAAAAACGGCCCTAGAGCAGCACACATATGGGCAAAGAATCGACTAGGGTTACTAAGGGGTTGGCAGACTAATTGGAGGAGATACACTCCGAAGCGGGCGGTGATTCCCAAAAAATGATGGGAAAGCGATGAGCATGTCTGTTGCGTTGAGACACGCCCACAGTGGGCGGAGCGTGCTCTCAGTTACGAGGTACTCATTTCGAGAAAGTTGTTGTGGTGTTCCGTAGTACGCCAGAGATGGGAAGAAGTGAGTTCAGATAAACAATGGGTCAGCGGTTGAGATAACCTTTGAGTAATCGATGATTAGAGGGGGGGATGGTCATTGAGTACATCGATATGTGTGTGTGACTAAACTCGAAATCCAGTATAAGGGTCTCAGGACACCTAGAAAAAAGCACTAAGGTCAGCAAGAAGTACACAGACATGCATGCCTGTTAAGCACCACACCCGCAATTACGAACCATTTGACTGAACCTAAGGATTGAGTACATTATGGTTAAGAAGCAGGGCACATCGTTGTTGGGGAATCCCCAATAGGGGGGTCGTATTTGGCCGCCAGGAGAGGGGGGTCGTATTTGGGCTGGGAAAAATTTATTTTGATAGTTGATTTTTCTCGCTTCACGGACGTTGTAAAGGGGGGTCGTACTTGGTCATTGTTGGGAGGGGGGGGGGGGTCGTATTTACGTTTTGGCGTTGTAGGAGCGGTGGTTGACTTTTTGTGATTTTCCTGTTTCACTGTTTCATGCGTACTATATACCCCCCCCCCACCCCCGCTCGACAGCAAAGTTTTT